TGCTGCTGCCCTATTCCCTTAACCTGCGGGCTGGGTGACTACAACCTCAGCTCTGAGCAGAGGATGGGGGTGGGTGAGGAGGAACACTTCTTTTTTTAAGAATTATTTACTTATTTAATTCTATTTGTTATTGTTATTTTCTCTCTCTCTCTCACCAGAGAGAGAGAGAGAAAGGGAAAGGGAAAAAGCAAGCCACCAGGTCCTGGACTTGAACCATGGTCGGCCATGTGGGAATCCAGCTCCCTTATCCACCACACCACCTGCCTGCCTCGAAGAGGGACACTTCTGAGGACTCTGAGTTTCTTTCATTACACAGTGGAATCATCCTCCTCCCCTCATAGGAGACGTGGACACTGCTACCGAGTGATTCCAGATCCATTAGTTTGCTGGATAATGCTGTGTTACTACCCCCAGAACCACCAGTCAGGTTCTCCTCTCAGTAAACAACATGTGATCCCTAAATTTATGCTAGGTTGTGTTCTAAGGGCAGGCTGTTCTTAGTTCAGTCACATTTCATGCTAAATAGACATTTGTGAGCAGAGGTGGAATCCTAACCATCATTCATAATGTTGATTCTTATGGGAAATGGCTCTGAGCTGCAGACCAGAAACTTGGAGATGAATGGCAACAGAGCTGGGTATTGCCTCTGACTTCAACGGCCTGCCTGATGGTCTAAGGTGAGCAGGCCTTCCTGTGTGCCCTGGATGGTAAGAAAAAGTGGGGGCAGCAGAAAGGGGTAGGCTCTGATTCTGGCACTGGGCACAGGGCCTGGGCCTCCCTGCCTGGGCCTGATCATCAGGATCTCTGCTAATGTATGTGGTGTCTTAGGTAGATTGAATCAAGCTTCCTTCTGAGTGGCGACATCTCTGTGGGCACCTTGACTGAATCAGCAGGTATTATCTTTGTGCAAGTTAGGAAAAGGCACTCCTTTCTCTCAGCAGACACAGCTCTATGCCAAGGCACATGGCTTGGTAAGGACACACAACCTGGATTTTGATCAAGCGTGCTTGCTCAGCTAGGTGCCTTGTGCAGTGCACAACCTGAGCAACCACATGATGTGGTCTTGCTGGCATTACCTACCATGGCTTCGGTGACCGTGTTTTCCAAACTGGGAGAAGGACACATGGTTTGACAGTGAACTCAGCAAATCTTTGTGTCACAAAATAGAAGCTCACTTTTCTGGGAGTCTATTAACATTGGAAGCATCTAAACCAGGAGATTATTCAAAAGTGATTTTAAAAAATCATTCATTTAAGACCATCCCATTGGAGTAGTGGAGGAACACTTGGTTTTCAAGAGTTATGCATGTTCTATTTTAATCAATGAGCTGGGAATGACAGTTTGGAGATATGGTCACTCCATCTACTCACTAGAGAATGAGGAGTATGAATTTTGACAGTCACACGGACACCATGCAGTCTTCCTGGTGGCATGCAAGTTGTGAGAGTTTGCTGCTATTTTTTATATTTTTATGATTCAAAGTGTTAAATAATAATTGGTAATGTTATTCATGCTAAAATATCATTTTTTATGATTATCTCCCTTTCTAGGAATTAAGTACTTAAACTTTTAAGCTATTGTTAATCCTGATTGTTGAGACAGATATTCTGGGTAAATGGCATCATAATACTTTAAGTTCAGAACATCTTAGAAAACCTGAGGCAAGTGGAAGCCAAATTCTTGACCTTTGCCTCTGTCCCCAGCATTCTCATTCTGAGGTCTTAGATCCCTGTCACCTGTCACACACCCTGCTCTGGACTTCTGGACCCCTAGGCCAGTGGTCCCTCAGGGAGATGGACATACGCATGTTCCGGCTTGCCATGCCCCACTCCCCCCCCCCAGGCCCTGCATCCCACAGTAGCCTCACCAGTGCACAGATTTTCGTAGTCTTCACAGCAGTCTCCGTGCCGGGAACACCGACGGTCACACTGGCAGGTGGCATCCCGGTTAAAATGCTCATTACAGCGCGATGCACACGATTCCATTTTTCCTACGGGTGGAAAAGGTCATGAACTGAGCTCTAGAGGGCCCCCTTTCTCCTCCTAAAGGTACTCTGCAGGGAAGGGCATTGCTATCCGCAATAAAGAGGGGCACGCAAGCCTCTCCTACACACCAAGCCCTTTCCTGACCACCCACCACCTGCCATCCACAATGTCTCAGGCTCACCATACAGACCAGGATTGCAAACCCAAGTGCCTATTTGGGCTAGGCCTGTAACATAAACCAGTGAAGACACAGGGTGGGAGGCAGTAGGAGGAAGCAGGGACTGTGGCAAACTGGAGAGTGATGCTCTGTCTGAAATTTGCAGCCACTGTTCAACTCCGATTGGTTATTGCTGTGTTACTGATAGACTGTGAGTTCAGTGTTACCAGAGCCTCCAGTCTTTCAAGAAAAAACTTCATTTTATGTGAAATTATCCAAGGTTTTTTCAAAAGAATTATTTTATTTAACTTTATTTATTTTATTTTAATTCGATCAGATAGGGGGAGAGAAAGAGAGAGAAAGTGAGAAAGCAAGCCACCAGATCCGGGACTTGAACCATGCTCAACTTTGTGGGAGTCCAGCATCCTTGACCACCATGCCACCTGCCAGCCCTGAAATTCTCCAAGTTTTAAAAAATTTAGGCAGGCCAGAGAAGAGGCCTGTGACTTGTTGTGGCACATAAGTCACCATTCCTCTGTCTTTAGATGAGGGTGAGTCACAGCTGCCCCAGCAGTGTCACCAGCCCCCTTCCCTCTGATCTATCCCCTTGGTCATCCTTTCCCTTGAATGCTCTTTGCTTCTTTGTTCTCTCCTCCTCTTCATCTTGTCTCTCTGTACCCTATTTCTTCCTGTGGAATGCATTCAGATTCGTTTATGCCCAGAGTGGGGAATGAGGCCGGTGTGGGTGAGAACTGGGCTTGGAATAGGATTCTGTTATGTAACCACAGACCACATCCCTCACTCCAGCCAAATGGTCTGCAGAAGCAAGCTTTTGGTCACAAGGGGCGTCAGACAAGAAATCTTGAAAGGAACTGTACAAACCCACTACCATTCTGGATTAAAAACAAGCCTCATTGTGCCCACCACAGCAAAGGCAGGAGAGGGCACAAGCAAGGGGCCGTTTCCTTTCACTCTGGGCTTCAAGGGTGATAACAGTGTCTTTGTTTCCATTTGAGGTTCCTGAGGTTTGGATTTCAAGAAAGCTGGTTTTCGGGGTCAGTCTGTGGGTTACAGAGAATGTCAAGATCAGAGTCAGAGTTACCATTCGCATCCGAATTTGTGTCAGAAAGGAAACTGAAACCTAATTTGGACCTGGGTTGCTTTAGTTAGGTCTATTCAGAGCTGCAGTTAGGATGTGGGCTTGAGTTAGATTTGTTGACAAAGTAACAATTTTGTGTTGATATTTGAGAAAGTAATAGAGTTAGATTTTTTTTAAATGACATTAAGGGTTGAGAAATGTATCAGAATTAAAAAGGGAGAAATAATCCTAGGTTTTTCTTAGATTAGATTTGGAACTTGATTCTGGTTGTGATTTGACACTGTTAAAGCATCCCATTTAAACCTGAAGGTGAATACCATGGACATAGGGTTAGGTACTGGTTTAGTCCGGGATTAGGGTTATACGCTGTCTAATGAGGGATGGCATAGCAGATTAAAAATCTAACCTGCTCTGTGCTTGCTTCGGCAGCACATATACCAAAAGTGGGCAATACAGAGAAAATTAGCATGCCCCCTGCGCAAGGATGACCTGCAAATTCGTGAAGTGTTTCTTTTTTTTTTTTTTTTTTTGAGAGGTTTTTGCTATAGGGCGTGTGTGTTCGCCAGAAACACAGAGAGAGACAGAGAGATAGAAAGCAAAAAATCACTCCACCCCAACCCCCCCAGAGGGTATGGCCACACCACAATCCTTTCTCCTCCATTCTCCCCTCGGGATCTTGGGCACTCACGTACACGTGCCCTGTGTGAGTTTAAGCCACCGGATCTGGGACTTGAACCGCGGTCAACTACATGGGAGTCCAGTGACATAGCCATTATGCTAACTGCTGGTCCCAAGTGTTTCATTTTTTTACTTTTTTTGGAGAGATTTTTGCTATAGGGCGCATGCGCCCACCAGACAGAGAGAGAGACAGAGAGATAGAAGGTGAGATATCACCCCCCAGAGAGGATGGCCACGCTGCAATCCCTTCTTCTCCATTCTCCTCTCGGGATCTTGGGCACGCACGCACAGGCAACCCGGCGTGAGTTTTAAGCCAATGGGTCCGGGACGCAAACCGCATTGGAGTCCAGTGACATAGCCATTACGCTAACCGCTGGTCCCAAGTGTTTCATATTTTTTAAAACTGCTTTTCTTTAAATTAACAGCTGAACTTGCTATTGAAAGTAGTTAGATTATTTAAGAAATTGTGTGATCAATACAATGTGGGGGGAAAAGAAATGGAAGACAATTGTAGGCACCAGAGATTGTGTGATAAAGAGGGTAGGAAATGACAGAGGGTCAGAAATAAGGGTGAGGGACCAGCAGTTGGCGTAATGGCTATGTCGCTGGACTCCCACGTAGTCGACCACGGTTCGCGTCCCAGACCCGGTAGCTTAAAAACTCACGCTAGGCGCGTGTGTGTGTGCCTAAGATCCCAAGAGGAGAGCAGAGAAGGGATTGCGGCGTGGCCATCCACCCTGGGGGGGG